CCAGCTGCTCTTTGGAAACCCTAAACAGGGTCACTATGAGTTGGAACTGACTTGACAGCATTTAACAACAACAATCTTTATTATTATCAGTACTGTTTAATAGCAATCAACAAGCACATTGAAGCTGTCTTAGCTTATAGAGCCCACAAATGATTTTCTTTGTACATCACTGGACACTGGCTGGTGTAAAGTATAAAGTACAGCGTGACTCTGTGGGTTCAGGCAGTCTTTCATATCATAAAACTAAACAGAAACAACAAAAGACAAAGATCCCATTGCCAGTCAATTCTGGCCCATGGTGATCCAATGTGTGTCAGAGTATGACTGTGCTCCATAGAATTTTCAATGGTGTAAACTTTTGGAAGTGGACTGCCAAGTTTTTCTTCTGATGAACCTCTGGGTGGGCTCAAACTACCAACTTTTCAATAAATAGATGAGTGTTAATGATTTGTGTCACCTACGGTCTCCTTTCATATCCTAGGTGAAACCTTGACTGGAATTCCAAGGACAGGAAGGGTTAAGAAAGGCTAAGAAGCAGGAGAAGAACATTTTCCATTAGAGGCTAGGCCCAGTAGATGGTTATGACTCAACAGACTAATCGGACTGTCTTAAAGCCCTTGCTGGCAGGTTTCCTCTAAGTTATTTGTTATTGATAAAAAAAAGCTGAATAACTGAGACATTACTCACAATGCAAAAAGATTAATCTGTTAGTATGGGATTGTTCAACATGCTGCATTATTTTGGTCCAAGGAATAATTCCTTCTTTGGTGGGTCATAGTAATGTCATAGTTGAGCTTTTGAAGACTTGATGAAAAATGCACCCGATGAACTGTGACCTGGGTTTCATTTGCTAACTGGTATTTCAGAAGACTGGGAAGAGAGAGTAGTCAGTCACCTACCTGGGTAGCAAAATGTGATAGAAGTGGTTTATTTCCAGTGGGGACCCTACTGAGCTTATTTCCCGTCACCTCTTATCTCCATGCCTTCCCTTCCCTCCTTTGAGCAGACGTTCATTCATTTCCTCCTCTAATGCTTTGGACCACTCTATTGAATCCTTGGAGTGCTGGTGTGGCGCTGTGGGTTAATGTGCCAGACTGCAAAGCCATTTGAACTGCAAGGTCAGCGGTTCAAGCTCACCAATGGCTCCTCGGAAACCCTATACAGGGTCGCTATGGGTTAGAACCGACTGAACGGTACTTAACAACAACAATTGAATCCTTAGCCCATCTTTCATTTTCTCTCTTGAGACCCACTCTCTCCATTCCTCTTCTCTGTGCCCCCCACCCTTTATACAATGACTGGACAGGTCATTGTGAAGCTTTTAAGTATATTTTTAAAAATTTACAATATTTGTTGAATAACATTTATAAAACTTGTATAAGAAATAAGATAACTTTATTCTTTATAGGTTTCAGCAGATTAAGTAACAAGTACTTTTATGTATTATTGTTTCTTGATTGAGGCCAGGGAAGTGTGCCTATCCTCTAGCCCTACCTTTTCCTATGTGTGTATTTTTCTTATGTATGTTTATGACAGTGTTTTTTTTGTTTTGTTTTTTGTTTTTCTGAACACGACTTTCATGTGTTTTTATTTCTGGTTAGGACTATGATTAACCATAGTGCCTGCTTCTTCCCTGTCAGTAGCTTCACTTCCCTGCCAGTCCATGGAATTATTTAAACAAGCCAATCACATCCTCCGGCAGGAAGCAGGCATCTCTTCACCCACTTGATACTACAAAACCTGCCTCCCACAGCCCCTGCTGGCTTATTGATGCCACGTTCAGTCCCTAGGTGGCCTGTGTGGTGTATAGTACCTTCCACTCCCAGACTATGAATGTTGTTCATAGTTATGTGCCATCAAGCCGGTTCTGACTCATAGCAACCCCAAAAAGGGTTTCTGAGGCTGCAAATCTTTATGGAAGCAGAAAGCCTCATCTTTCTCCTGTGGAACCAGGGGTAGTTTCAAACTGCTGACCTTAAGGTTAGCAGCCCAACTCATAACCACTACACTCCCAGAGCTGCTATGCTTCCAGAGCTCACTGTAAATACAGGTGACTAATAGATGATGTGTTAGGTGTCATGTGTTAGACAGAGGAGAGAATCTAAATAGCACTTTGGCATCTCACAATCAAAGCCTCTGACAATCCATTCATCAGCTCTGTGTTCTGGAACAAATAGTTCTGTTTTTACTACTCCATTTATAATACCAACTATTTACCAAAAGATTACAAGGACTAATGCTGATAATAGATGGTGTTTTATAAATATAATGTCATGAAATAGTTCATCAGCCTCTTCACTACTAAGGGACACGTGTTAGAGGCAGGGTGATATCGTGCCAGGCTATGCACTTGACTGACTCTCCCATGTACTAGTTTAAGTTCAAGGCACTCACTCAACATCTGTAAGTCTCAGCCATGCCATCTGTAAAACAAGGATAATAACTTCACTTCCATTCTGGTAAAGGTTTGGTGATGACATGTGAAAAGGCTTGCCAACTAATAAACAAAGGTTTCTTACTGTACAGGTAGTTTTTTACTGCATATTTCATAGCAATCCAGACATGAAAGGCTTCTGTCAGCAACTACATTAAATTAAAGTCATTATTTGTTACATTTTCTATCTTTTAATTAAACCTATCTGTATCTACATCTTTATCTATATACCAAAAAAAACCAAATTTGTGGGTGGGTTTTGATTCATGGTGACCCTATAATGATCCTGTAAAGTAGAACCAGCTGTTCCATGGGAGAAAGATGAGGCTTTCTGCTCCCGTAAAGATTTACAGCCTCAGAAACTCTGTACAGGGTCGCTATGAGTCGAAACCAACTCCATGGCACATTACCACCCCCACCATAGAGTAGAACTGCCCCAATAGGCTTTCCAAGGCTCTGAATCTTTACGGAAGTAGACTTCCACATCATTCTCCCACAAAGCAGCAGGTGGATTTCAACCACTGACTTTTCAGTGAGCAGTCAAGCTCTTAACACCACTGTGTCACCAGGGGTCCTGATATGGACTTCTGGTGTGATGCTGTAGGATCAACACTGAGCTGTGAACTACAGGGTCTGTAGTTCAAATATACCAGCTACTCCTCAGAAACCCTATACAGGGTCACTATGAGTCAGAACCGATTCTATGGCACTAACAACAACAAATTTATAGATATATGGGTATATTTATAGATATATGCAGATGTTTATCTTTCTCCTCAATATTTAAATAAAAATATAGTGCTAATTAAGTTATATATCTGGATGATAAATCAATGGGTAATGAGGACAATTATATTGTTTCAGTGTTGTTGTTGTTGTTAAGTGCTATTGAGTCAGATCCAACCTGTATAGGGCTCCCAAGGAGCAGCTGGTGGGTTTGAACTGTCCAGCTTGTGGAAAGTCCAGTGCTTAGATGTTCAAATTACTTTGTCTCTCTCAGGATCAATTAATTTAAACTAAAATTTCTGTACAGAATTGTAGTTGTCGTTAAGTGTCATTGAGTCAGTTCCAACTTATAGCAACCCTATATAGGAGTAACTGGTGAGCTTGAACCACCGACCTTGTGGTTCAAACTGACTTTGCAGTCCAGCACATTAACCCAAAGCACCACACCAGGACTCCATGTACAGAATAGGGCTATTAAACTCATAAACTAAATCAAAGATTAAAAATATCATTATAGTTTTTAGGGTATTATCTATGTTTCAAGGAACACTGGTGGTATAGTGGGTTAATCGTTGGGTTGGAGTGTTAACAAAAATGTTGGCAGTTCAAACACATCTGCTCTGCGAAGGAGGAGGCTATCTCCTCCATGAAGATTTACTGTCTGGAGAATCCTATGGAGCAGTCTACTCCGTCCTGTAGGGTCTCTATGAGCTTGGAGTCCAAATCAACTGGACGGCAGTGGGTGGTGTCTATCTACTTCCTTGATTATGAGTGAAAGCATTCCTAACTCTTATCATCAGCTTATGACCTTTTCAGTATAAAATTGACACCACTCTATCTCACAGGACTGCTTGGAAGATAAAGGACAGTGACACACCATGGACCGAGGATCACACCCTCACAAGGCACACTGCTGTCATAACTGCTCACTTTCTTCCTGGCACTTAACTAACAAACATCTTCCTCATGTATCATTTTCAGCTCTCTGAGGTGTAAGGTTATTTGGTATCAATGTCTTTTGAACCTCCTGAAGTTTCGCTCCTAACCAAAAGATTCTCTGCCTCACTCCAATTTCTCCCTCTTTCGTCTACCATGAGGAAGAAATTCAAGAGACATCTGATTGTTGGAGGTGCTAGCTCCCCAGTTTATTTCACTTATTCACAAGATTTTCTTCAATATTTCCTGTTGTTCTCTCCACATAAAAAAAGACAAAATGTTTGTCGAATGGGTCAGATGAACTCTGCTCCTTTTCTACTAGAAAGGATGACTTTATGATAACTGCTTTTCTCTGGGGAGGAGTGCCCCCCTCTTTGAGGGCAGGGAGCTTCCTGTTGAACTTAATTTTCCATTTATTTGTGATCTTTCTGGTTTTTCATTTAACAGCCTTGTCTGACAGGCTTCTTTGAAAAAACAAAAAAACAAAAAAAAAACAAAAAAACTTCAAAACTGAGATTAAAGTTCCAAAGTAAAGCTTTTAAAAAGAAAACAACAATGAACACCAAAACAACAACAAAAAACAAACAAAAGGAGCTCAACGGGTTTATTATAATGGCTTTGGCTCTTTATCAAGAAATTCATTGTTCAGTCACCTACTAGTCAATAGTTTCTCAAAGAAAAATGCACAGAGAAAAAAGCACACACATCGTATGACCCTCCCTTTTAAGAACGTTAAATCAAGAAAGACAACTGCCATCTCTGAAACTTAATCACACTATAAAATCAATCTTAAAATAGAGTACTTGTAATTCTTTTAGATTCCCATTCTTCTGTCTAGAAAGTTGTGACTAAGATTTTTACTGTTTTGTATGAGGAAGAAATTTTTAGGTGAATTGGTACTTACCATCATCTTTGTCGGGCACAATTGTGACCTGAGCCCCTGGAAATGCTGATCCAATTCTACCACCCATGGGCATACTCAGAAGGACCTGGAATGTTTCCTTCTCTTCGTACAAGGAGTCATCAATGACAACAATCCGACACATTTTCTCCCGTTCATCTTTGTCAAATTGTACAACACTGGTATGGTCCTCAGGTCTGGATATGTAGTCAGAATAGGACAGCACCGATGTTGGGACAGTTCCAGTGGCCGTTCCTGGAGCCAGAGAGAATCCAAAAGCTTTGTATATAGAACATATTGCAAGGAGATTTCCACAAACCATCATTTTCATATGTAGCATTTTAATAGTCAATGTTGTTATTGTTAAGTGCCCTCGAGTCAGTCCTGACTCATAGCAACCCTGTATAGGGTTTCCGAGGAGTGATTGGTGAGTTTGAACCACTGACCTTGCAGTCCAGTGCTTATCCTACAGCACCACACCAGGATTCCTAGTGGTCAATAGGTATATTTTAACACTACTGGGATTGCAGTACCAACTGCACACTATTCTAGTCCACCACCATCTGCATCTGTTGTACTGTGGTGGCTTGAGTATTGCTGTGATGTTGGAAACCACACTGCTGGGTCTTCAAACACCTGCAGGACCACTATGGATAGAGGTTTCAGCAGAGCTTCCAGACTAAGACAGACTAGGAAGAAAAGCCTGGTGATGCACTTCCAAATTTTAGCCAATGAAAATTGTATGGATCACAACAGAATATTGCCTGATATAATGCTGGAAGATGAACCCTGTAGGTTAGAAGTCCTCCAGATACACAGTGGCCTCAACAGTGAGGCTACCAACAATCGTGAAGTGGCTCACTGTTCCCTCCTGTTTGTATGTGGAGTCGTCATGAGTCAGAGCTGACTGATGGCACCTAGCATGAACAACACTGGTCTAGCGTTATGAGTCAATTTCATAGGGGTCTCAAACACAACGTCTGCTAAATTTTAAGTATTTTTATTTGTCTTTCCTGCCAATGAACCTTTAGGTCCACAGACAATTATAAAATAGTAGCTGTCATTATTAAAATGAAAGATTCCTAGTAGTACAGTGGTTAAAGGCACTACCAAAGGTACACAGTTTGAATCCACCAGCAGCTCTGCAGGAAAGGTGTGGCAGTCTGATCCTATCAAGATTACAACCTTTGAGACCTTATGGAGCAGTTCTACTCTGTCCTATAAGACTGCTATCAGTTGGAACCAACCTGATGGCAATGGAATAATAGGTTAGCATTAAAATGCTTACTACATGTAGGCAAAGTGTCAAGCACTCTGCACACATTGCCTTATTAACTTCCTCAACCACTCTATTGGATTGTACACATTTGGTAACTGAAGTTTACAGAGGTAAACCTTACTCTGAGATCCAGAATGCAATCTGATTCTGAAGTCTGTTTTAATTACTCTTCTATACTGCCTTTCAAATCAAATACTTAATGATCATTTTATGAAAGTGTGTTCAGATATCAATATTTTATATGAGTTTTTCTTTCATATTCTTAGAAAATCAATGTGTTTCCTAGGATAGTGTTGTATATATTAATGAACAACATTATTAATTTTAAAGCTGTATTCTATAAATCCATCTTATTATCTGTAAGATGAAACTTATCTATGAGCAGGACAAATATAAAATTTGTGTGGATTGGGTTTCATACTGGTTTTAGATTAGTTTGGAATTAGTTTTTTTCTTTGGGAGTGCATTGCTTTACCTCCTTTTTTATTTTTTTCAAACAATAATGCCTTTCTACTTGAACAGGCTTGGGCTGAGGATCTTTAGCTTTTAGCTTCAGTTTCCCCAAAGCCTTGCCCAAAGAATATCACAGGAATTAACCAAGTGAAATCAGAAGTGAAAAGAAATAGAAAAATCCTTCAGGCCACCTTAGTGGGATTTTCAAAGGAGCAGTATTGAAGGGAAACTTCTAGACTGGTTCTTTTTTTTTCTTTATGAAAAAAGTAATAATAAAGTGTAACCCTCATGGCAAAATGCAATGGATCCAACAAGTTAAAGAGGCATTTATGTCTTTGGGGAGACAGTTTATTTGAAAATCAGCTTACCTTGTTGTGTGTAACAGATTACCATCAGTTCCTGACTAACATCTCCACTTCGCCTGATGGGAATGAACAGTTCTCCAACATCCTCTTCAATGGAATATTCAGATTGAGGAATAAATACAGTGGACTCTACAGAGAAAACACATAATCACAGTCACTAAGATTCACATGTGAACAAGTCTATTCATATTAAAATTCCTCTAATTACTGTTTTTTTGCCTTGCATATTCTTTTAGAACAAGGCAGTGTGAACAGGAGAAAAGAAGCAGAAGGAAAAATAGGTGTAGTGTTAACTGGTGACCCAATCTAGAAACCAAACCCACAATCACTTTCATTTCTTCCTTCTCAATTAATAATTAACACATTCTGTTGATATGTTTCCTCTAAATCAAATCTGTTCTCCTAGCAGAAGTTAAAATCCTCCAGTGGGACAGAATTCTAATGCTAGAGGAGATCTCAGAAGCCATTGTACTCCACTTATTAGTTTACAGATGAGGAAATTTAGGCTCAGAGAGTTGAACAATGTTACTGGATATGTGAGGATTAGGACTCAGATCTTGCAGTTTTCCTTGTGCTGTTGTTTTCAGTCTGATGCGTTCCTTTAGAATGATTACCAGCAAACAAAAATCTTGTGGATGTCAAGTAGATTCCTACACATGGCAACCCCATGTGTTACGGAATAGAACTGTGCTGTATTGGGTTTTCAACAGAAGCAGTACACCAGGTCTTTCTTCTATGGTGTTGCTAGGTAGATATAACCATCAAGTTGCAAACTGATTGCTTCACCTAGGGACAGTTAACATGCTCAGCTGCTAATAGAAAGGTTGGAGGTTCAAGTTCATCCAGAGGTGCCTTGGAATAAAGGCCTGTCATTCTACTTCTGAAATATGTCATTGAAAATCAGTAGAGCACAGTTCTATTCTGACATACACATGGTTATTACGAATTAGCCACCACTTGTATGTCAGTTTGTTGTATTGAAGTAGCTTGCGAGTTGCTGTGATGCTGGAAGCTATGTCAATGGCATTTTAAATACCAGCAGGGTCACCAATGGTAGACAGGTTTCAACTGTGTTTTTAGACTAACAGAGACTAGGAAGGAGAGGAGGACTACTTCTGAATTTTAGTCACTAAAAAGCTTATAAATAGCAGTGGAACACTGTCAGATAGCACCAGAATGTTGTCAGAATATTGTCAGATATAGAGCCGGAAGATGAGTCCTTCAGGTTGAAAGGTACTCAAAATACCACCCTGGAAGACTTGTCTCTTCAAAGTACAGTTGCTCATGATGATAAGAATGGAGTAAAGCTTTCAGGATCTTCATTTGCTGATGAGGCACAACTCAAAATGAGAAACAGCTGTAAACAACCATTAATCATCACAACATGGAATGTACGAAGTATGAATCTACGAAAATTGGAAGTTATCAAAATGAAACAAAAACTCATAAAGATCGCTATCCTAGGCTTGTTGAGTTGAAAGAGACTGGTATTAGCCATTTTGAGTCTGACACTCATATGGCTTACTATGCCAGGAATGGCAAATTGAAGAGAAATGGCATTGCATTCATCATCAAATACAATATTTTAAGATTTATCTTGAAGTATAATGCTATCTGTGATAATATCCATAGGCCTACACTGGACTGCAAGATTGATGTGAAACACAAGGTTGGTGGTTCAGGCTCAACAGTTGTTCCTTGAAAACCCTATACAGGGTTGTTATGAGTTGATGCTGATTGACAGTATTTGACAACAGCAACAACAACAAAGACCAGTTAATACCACTATTTTTCAAATTTATTCATTGGCCACTAAAGCTAGTGATGATGAAATTGAAAAATTCTACCAGCTTCTTCCGTTGGAAATAGATCACACATGCAATCAAGACGTATTGACAATTAGTGGTGATTGGAATGCAAAGGTTGGAAACAAAGAGGAAGGATCAGTAGTTGGAAAATATGACCTTATTGATAGAAACAATGCTGGAAATCTATGTTAAAATTTTGCAAAACCTATAACTGGTTCATTGCAAACACATTTTTAAAAACAACATAAAGATGACTACACAAATGGACCTCACCAGATGGAATGCATAGAAATCAAATTGACTACATCTGTGGAAAGAGACCGTGGGAAAGCTCATATCATCAGCCGAAATAAGGCCTGGGTCAGACTGTGGAACCAGCCATCAATTGCTCACATGTGAGTTCAAGCTGAAGTTGAAGAAAATTAAAACAAGTCCATGAGCGCCCAAATATGACATACATACAACATACCCCACCTGAATTTAGAGATCATGTCAATAACAGATTTGATATATTAGACACTAATGATCGATGCGAGTTGTGGGATGACATCAAGAACATCACACAGGAAGAAAGCAAAAGATCATTAAGAAAACAAGACAGAAGAAAAAGACCAATATGAATGTCAGAAAAGACTTGGAAATTTACTATCCAGGGTAGAGATGCTAAAACAAATGAACCAAGTGAGGAGGTACAAGAGCTGAACAGAAAACTTCAAAGGTCATCTAGAGAAGACAAAGTCAAAAATTATAACAAAATGTGCAAAGACCTGGAGTTAGCAAACCAAAAGGGAAGAATACGCTCATCATTTTTCAAGCTTAAAAAAACTGAAGAAAAAAATTCAAACCCTGACATGAAATACTGAAGTATTCTTTGGGAAAAATATTGAATGATGCAGAAAGCATCAAAAGAAGTTGGAAGGAATACACAGTCACTATTCTTAAAGAAAATAGTGGATGTTCAACTGTTTCATTGAAGAGCAAAGATGTCAGCTTGAGGACTAAGTTGCGCCTGACCCAAGCCATGGTATTTTCAATAACCTCATATGGATGCGAAAGCTGGACAGCGAATAAGAAAGATTGTAGAAGAATTGATGCCTTTGAATTGTGGTGTTGGAGGAGAATACTAAAAGTGCCATGGGTTGCCAAAAGAACCAACAGATCTGTTTTGGAAGAAATGCAGCCAGAGTGCTCCTTTGAGGCCAAGATAGCTAAACTTCGTCTCTCATACTTTGGACATATTGTCAGGAGGGAACAATTGCTGGGGAAGGATATCATGCTTGGTAAGGTGGAGGGTCAGAGAAAAAGAGGAAGACCCCCAACGAGATGGATTGGCCAGGTGGCAGCATTGATGGACTCAAGTGTGGCAGCGGTAGTGAGGTTGGCCCAGGATCAGACATTGTTTCGTTCTGCTGTACATGGGGTCACTATGAGTCGGTTCCGACTCGATGGCACCTGACAACAACAACAACATTCTTAAAGAAAATAGTGGATGTTCAACTGTTTCAAAAGGTAATATATGATCAAGAGCCAATGGTACTAATGAATAAGTCCAAAGTGCACTGAAGGCAAAGTACTGCTTAAGAAGAAGGTCAAAGTTAGAGACCTCTCCCTGGTCGAAAAATTTACCTCACTGACAAAGTAGTCAAAAGAGACTCATATTGGTACAACAAAATGTACATAGACCAATGGAACAGAATTAAGAACCCAGAAGTAAAGCCATCCACCTCCAGTCAGCTGATTTTTAAAAAAGGGCCAAAACACATCAAATTAGGAAGATGGTGCTGGAAAAACTGGAAATCCATTTGCAGAATGAAACAAGATCTATATTTCACACCATACACAAAAACAAATTCAATATGAATTAAAGTCCTAAATGTAAAACCTAGAACTATAAAGATCATCAATGAAAAAATAGGAACAAACTTAGGGGTTCTAATACATGGAATAAATGCACTGTCAAACAGTACTAAAACCACAGAAAAATTAAAAGACACACTAGAAAAGTGGAACCTCCTAAAAATTAGACACTTATGTGTATCAAAAGATTTTTCCAAAATGGTAAAAAGGAAACCTTTTTTACGACTTATCAGACAAGAGACTGGTGTGGTGCTGTGGGTTAATGCGTTGGATTGCAAAGTCAGTTTGAATCAAGAGGCCGGCCATTCAAGCTCACCAGCTGCTACTTGGAAACTCTATACAGGGTTGTTATGGGTTGGAACTGACTCGACGGCACTTAACAATAACAACGGACAAGAGACTAGTAGCTAAAATTCATAGAAAAGTAAAGCACCTCTATATGAAAAAGACAAACAACCCAATTTAAAAATGGGCATTGGATATGAACACTTCACCAAGGAACACAATCAGGCAGCTAATATGAAGAAATATTCACCATCATAAGCCATTAGAGCAATTCAAACGAGAGATAATCTCACCCCAGCATTAATAGCAAAGTTCAAAAACACAGAAAACAATAATTGTTGATGAGGGTGTGGGGAGACTGTTGGCTGGACTGTAAAATGGTTCAACCATTGTGGAAAACTGCAAGGCACTTCCTCAGAAAATTGGAAAAAGAAATACCATATGACCCAGCAAAAGAGTCAGGGAGTGAGTAGATATATGCACACCAACATTCATCGTAGCACTCTTCAAAATAGCAAGGAGATGCACACAGTCAAAATGTCCATCAATGGAGAATGGACAAACAGACTTAGGTACATACTCATAATGGAATACTATGCAATGTTTAACAATAACAATAAATCTGCGAAACTCCTCATAACATGGATGAATTTGAAGGATATTATGTTGAGTGAAATTAGTCAATTACAAAAAAAAAAAAAAAAAAA